TTAGATAGCGAAAGTACTTGGGCAGCGTTAAATTAATAAAAGTGTGCTCGATATCTGCCTTTCATTTTATCAAAGTTCATTTATTCGAGCATTCAACCTTATTTCAATCACATTATCTAGCTACAGAAAGCACGAAACTGAAGTGGAAGATCAAGTGAATAGAGCAAACAGAAACAGAGACGGGAAATAAAAATATTGGGAAAGAAATGAAAGGCAAAATTTAAAAAAACAGTCATCAGATCTATAATATAATAAATCAATAATTGATGGTAAGACACTATGGGACAGAGCTAAAAGTACAGATATAGGACGTTGATGCAAGGTGGAAAACATTACGAACTGGGTAAGAAATAGAAGAGTAGAATGGAACGATAATATAAGCATAATAGAGAGACAATTCAGACAACAAATAGAGTAGTAAAACGGCAAGAGACGGTTCCTCAATATGAAGACGATCAGTAGGAAGACCACGAAAACGATGGAACGACAACTTACTGGAGACACATTGAAAGACAGACAGAATAATGTCTATATAAAAAGAAGAGAGATATTTTGAGGCAAGTACATAAAAGTTTTAAAAAAAGTTTAAAAGTTTAAACACTTTTGAAGGTGATTTTATTTGATATTATTGCTCAATTAGATTAGGTTAATTGTTTAAGTAGATGAATGATGTATGTAAGCCTTAATGTATAGATACCTTGTTATTTTTTCCGGTCTAACCTTCAAATTATTATGGGCGGAAATTATAAAATATTATTCCACGTTACCCGACTAAAAATTTAAATCCTAAAATTGGTCTTTATTACATAAATGCATCGAAGGATAAACAAAATAAAAAAGAATGTCACAACGTAAGAAGTGGAATTTGGAAGACACGAAAATAGCAGTTAGAAGCAAAATAATGGGTTATTTGAAAGGCATGCAAATATCCAACGTGCCTCGTGCCACCCTTTAGGCTTTGTAAGAAAGATGGTGCCGCTGGTGAGGTATACCAAACAAAACTAAGGAGAAAACTTATTTTGCCAGATCATCTGGAAAAGGAGCTAGGGACGCATTGTCTGTAAATGGAGAAAACCTTTTATGGATTAGCCAGACGGGATGTCCGTAAATCTTGCATTTCAGTTAGGGAGGGGAGATAAAAACATTTCAAATTCCTACTCATTACAGCAGTGACCTGCTTGCTAAAGCTTACTTGAAGATCCAAACTGGCAAAAGGAAAGTCAATGGATTTCGACAAACGGGTAGCTTTCCAGTAAACGGACATATTTTTTCCGAAGAGGATTTTCTAGAGAAATTGGCACACAATAATGAAGAAGCACCCGTTGGACATGAAAGCCAGATAAACCCGTCTCGTGACCAGGAAGATGCCGATGAAGGAGCAAATGGACAACCAGTTTTACCATAACAAATATTTCCATTCATGTTCTTAAAAAACGTTAAGTAATTTGGTCTGTTAAATTTTTTATGTAAGGTATTTTTTTTATACCAAAAAATAAAAAATTAATTAACCAGTTTTATACAAAAAAATACCTTACATAAAAAATTTAACAGACCAAATTGTCCCACTTTTCAAAACATTTCCGAACATTAAATTAATTAAATACAATCCACTTCTAAATTCAAGGTTGTTCTCAAAAATTAAAGTTAAAACTCCAAATTCACTAATGAGTAATATAATTTATAGAATAAATTGCAGTCAATGTCAAAGTTGTTATATTGGACAAAGTCAACAGTGGCTTAAACAACGTGTCACTCAACACAAAAGTGACTGTAACTTACGAAAAAACTTTTGTGCCTTAGTGGACCACCACTTAAAGACAGGACATAACTTTGACTTTAATAATGTAAAAATCTTGGAACAAGTTGATAATTATAAAAATCGACTTTTCCTTGAAACGGTACACATTAATAAAACTCCAGAATCTATCAATTATAAAACAGACACCAACCATTTAAGTAATATCTACTGTAATATACTAAACAATATATGATATGATAGATCTTAATATCAGTATCTAACAACATCAGACCAATAACTGACTACGTACCATCAATTACATTTTATAGATCAATTTACCATGTTCCTGATTCTTTCTCAATCTTCTACTTTTGCACCTTATTATATGGATAATACTGTCACAATATGTAATTGTTTACTAAAACTTATTCGCTAAAAATTGTACAATGGGAATTCACTCTATAAAATATTGCGGTTACCATAACTCCCAAATAAATTAAAATAAAAAAAAATGTCATTTATTTAAATTGGATATGTTATCAAAATTTAAAAATTTTAATCTTAAGTTGTAAGTATTGAAATATTCATTTTGTTTACATATAATAATTATAATAAATTTACAGTTTTCTCCTGAAGAAGTCACAAAATCGTGACGAAATATTGAGAAATAACAAATAGAGTTTTATTTCATACAGACCAATTGCTGAGACTACAAATAATATATATATATATATATATATATATATATATATATATATATATATATATATATATATATATATATATATATGAACCTGTGATGTAGCCATACGCTAAATAAATAAATAATGCGAATGATTTAAGAGGAGAAATGTGAGCTCTGGGCACATGAGCTATGCGCTAATGCCGAAATGATTGCTATATTTGCGATTTTTGTCGATAGAAGGATATATTTCATAGTGTTCCATATTACATCATATAGTTATTTCATAATACACGACCATTTTTTCTGTAAACAAATGTATTTTTTTTTCAATGACAAAATATATTTTTATGTCTGTATCTTTTTAGTTTTTTGCAATCATTCGGTATAATAAACCTTTTGGTCACGCCTTTACTATTTTTTATATATTCTATTTATTTCAATACTTTCCGAAATAATTTTATAAATAAAAATGGTATTCCATAATCCCCGACTTTACTATATTAATATGCTCCAATATTGAGAATTTCGGAGTTTATGTTGGCATACCTAGGACTTTATTATTCTTCGGGCTTTAATGGCATCCATTATTTCCTCTCTTTTGGATGGTATGTTAATTTGTGTTTGCTCTGTGTCTCTAGTGTGTCACCATACCATATTCTTCATCATCATTCTTCGACATATGAACTTACGAGATTATTGGCGTGCTCTATCATTGGCCATTTGATCACCTAGAACCACGTTCCTATCCTAGTAAGAGAAGCCATATTATCCCATGACCAACCTCAAAATGTTCCCAAAATAATAAGAGACTACAAATATGCAGACTGGAACCTTTTTAAATACTTTCTAACATTCAATGCTTCACGTTAAGCAACCTAGACACCCAAGTTGATATCGACAAAGGTATCACGGTCCTCCAAGAACTGATAAATCGAGCAATTGATGCTTCAGTCCTAAGCATAGTAATAAACCCTGCAAGATCACCTCTCTCATCATATATAAACAAAATCAATATTAAAATACGTCTATTTCAAAAACAAAGCCAATCAATGGTGAAGAACCAACTCTGCCTTGGACTACCAAGACGGCGGTTCGTTCTGGAGAAGATTCAAAATCCTACCGAAACAAAAAACTGTCAACTCTTCTCACATAATATTAAATTTAGACCATCAGAAGGCCAAAGCTTTCAAAACAAATCATCACAAGACACTCAACAAGCCCAAACGATCTCAGAAATGACCAAGCCTTCCGTGCTACTACTAAGGTAGCAATCCAAGGTTTGATCTAAACCTTATTCGATCCACAGATTTCCTATGAGCATCCCCTTGTGGCACCTGGCATAATCTACAACCTGACGAAAATAGTCAAAGCCGCAGTTCAATTCTGCTACTTTCCAAACTTCTGGAAAGTAGGTATCCTACACATACTTCTACTTTATAAATATACCCCTATGTTTTAAACGTTATTGGTAAGACGTGGTATTCACTCATATCACGTCATAAATTTAAATGAGTACCATTTCAGAATAGTTTCAGTGTCACATTCTTTTTATTATTAATACAACATACTCAATCATTTTTTGAACGTAATTGTATTGTTTGCAAATTTATATTGTGATTAATACCCAATTTTTCAATAGTCAGTAAAAGTCATAGTCATAGAGTCAATAAAAACCATCGAGCAAAAAGACAAAAGAGGGAATGTAAAGGTAGTGGCTGCAAAAATTGTTAGACAGGAAGTGCGATCTTTAGAGGCCACATTAAACAAGGAAAGAGAGTCTCTCTCATCGAGTTAGAATCTAGGTCTCTCTCCTTGTTTGACATCAAATTTAGTTGGGTTATGTTATTGTTACGTCATTGTTTGTCCCAAATGTCACATGCAATCTTATTTATATTGAAGTTTTTTAACAATTGTGTCGCATTTTAGACTATTACCGTTAATAGTTAATTAAAACTTTCTCGTCTAAGACACATTTTGACAAATATTATATAGCTACTGTTAATAAGTGTCGGAAAATTTAAATTTGGCGCATTTCCGGATATGTCCGCCATCAGAGGCCACCCCTCTTTTGTCTTTTTGCTCGATGATAAAAACATAGCTTCAGAACTATAATCTAATCTATTAATAGTAAAAACTGAAATAATTGTTATCTAATTAATGTTGACTTATATAAATTATAGTAAAATATATTTAAATATATATTTTTTACATTGCTATATATTTTCTATGTGATAATTATTTATCTTTTGCGCTTTGTGTCACAATTCGCACATTATTCATTGTAAATTTTATCGTATTCAAAACCCTTCAAACGAATTTAAGAACCTCCGCCTAGTTAACTTCGTACCAATTTTAAACTAGAACTGTTGCTATCTTCACATTGGTTTAAGAAAGTAAACTATGGAATGTTATGAGGGATTTTCAGGGATTTTTAAAAAATGACGCACACGACATTGACATTAACTTAACCTATAAAATCCAAAATATATGTAAAAATAGTTACAGCATAAATTAAGAATGAATTCGATCTCTATTAGTTAAAAGTATTATTGATAATACTTTATTCAGTTGTAAAAGATGGTTGTCGTGTGTAGAACGGGTCATCTCTTTAAAAGTTCAAAGACTGTTACTAAATCGCCAAATTTGTTTTTCTCTACTTATAGACCGCCTTACAAAAATAGCTCTAACTTCTTGAGAAGAAACGTACTTGGCAAAGCATCTAATTCATTGGTGGACAATTTTTGTGGTTGTAGATATTTTGCAGTAGACTATTTTCAGTCAAGTGACAATAGGACAACAGTCAGCAAGTTAACTCCACAAGAGGTAAGTGGTAAGATTTTACTACTACTTTATTTTTTTAGGTCAGTAAACACACAATCGTTTATTTTGCATTTTTATTCGTATATATTCTACTTATTTAAGAATATTGACATGTATCTTGTTTTATTGATTAACTTTTTCAGAACTGAAGGTTATGGCTTTTTGATTTTATATTTTTAAAGATGTTAGTAAACAAGTTGGGGAATTATAATGTAAACAGAAATTTTTATTTTATTTGTCTTGCCAAATATCTTTTGGAAATGCTGTCTTGTAACTCTGACACACTATTTGTTATAAATTGTGTAATTGAATTAGGTAAAAATTGAGAATTACTTACAGGATAGTCCCTATTCTATAGAAATTTAATTTACAATGCATATATTTTCCATATTTTTTTTGAGGTAATTTATATTTTTTACATTAATAGAAAAATACACTATGGGTTTCATTATTTAATTTTTCTATTTTGCCACCAAATTACTATATATTTTTTAATCTTCTTCTTCTTCAGATGCAAATCCATTAATGGATGTTAGCGATCACATTTTCCATTAACTCTCTATTTCTTGCAATATGTATCAGAGATTGTATGTTGTTAATCCCTGTCCATTGCCTTCTGTTTCGGAGCCAGGACATTTTCTTGCGTCCCATTCCTCTCTTGCCTTCAATTTTACCCTCGATTATAAGTTGGAGGAACTGGTATTTTTCATTTCGCATGATGTGACCTAGATACGCCGTTTTCCTTTTCTTGATGGTTTCGAAAAGTTGGCGTTCTTGGTTTATTGGTTGGACAGTAGCTGACAATTTTCATATGGAACACATTTGAATATGTTTCTTTATATGCAGCACTAGTCCAGCCATAATAAATTTACATGTTTTACATTTAGCAGTCACTTATTTTTTGTTATTATTTTTAATAACATCAAAATATGACCAAATGGCACCTTTCTTCCTTCCTGTAATTTTTCAAAAAAGCACCAAACACCCCAAAATAACTTACAGTAGATGTTTATACAATAGCCAACTTGTAATGCGAATTATAAATAGTAAATAGTCTGTGGTTACCCCAGGCAAATTGCTGCTCGTAGAAATTGGTTTTTGTTATTTCAAGGATTCACTGGCACACCCTCACATTGGCAGAACAACTTAGTTCAGAACAACTGATCTTGATCTTTTAGTAAAGAGTCAGACTTTAAATAAGGTATCTATTATTTAGTAGAATAATAGATCGAACATTTTTAATTAATATTGTGTTTAAGAAAATATGAAGTTTTATTTGATTAAAACGTAAAATTTATAAACAAAAAAGACATGTGTTTTGTATAAAATTAAAAAATAAATGTTTTTCTTTTAACCCTGGGTACTTGCCAGGGTTGATTTAAGTACCAGTCAACAGAATTAAGATTAGTGATCTGAGATATACAGGTGATACTTTGCTGCTTGTGAGTTCTTGATTGAAGTATAAATGATAATTGGAATATGAGCAAAAAAGTAAAAATCTGCATTGAAAAGACCAGAGCTGTATTTTTCCTAATGAAAAAAGTAACATGTAGATGAAATAGAGTTGAAAGCTTGACACTCATTAGATTTGCTATTAAATAAAGATCAAGCTTTCGAAATGTGGGTGTATTGAACTATAAATCTAATTTATTAACTTCGATATAGATATATTAGATATTATTATAAAATAATGTTCTAATACTAAAAATCAATTTTTCCCTTATTCACAGCCACCCCTTCTTTACTGACTATATGAACCAGCTAATTGACTGTACCTTGAAATAGCTGGCACTTAAGGTTTAACATCAATTGGGTAGCTTTAAGTTGATTATAAATGTTTTCTAAATTCTTCAGATGGTCTTCAAATGTCTCCCCCAAAACAATTATGTCATCTAGATAAACCAGGCATGTTTTCCAAGATAACTCCCTCAACACATTTTCCATAAGTTTCTCAAATGTCACAGGAGCATTATAGAGTCCAAATGGCATAATATTGAAATGCCACAATCCAGATCCTGTGGTGAAGGCTGTCTTCTCTTTATCTACTGAGTCTATTTCTACCTGCCAGTATCCATTCTTCAAATCCAAAGTAGAAAACAATTTGCTTCCAGCCAATTGTGCCGTCGATCCGAGGCAGAACCTTGTCGTTTCGTCTTTCTTCTTAACCAGGACCACCGGAGAGACCCATGAGTTCGTAGAAGGTTTTATCACCCCGTCTTTCATCATTTCCTGAACAATCGTTTCATCTTCCTCTCTTTTCGCCTGTGCTAATCGTCGAGCTGTTTGATTTTATGCTTAACAATGGTAGTTCTTCTCGTCTTTCCTCCTTTCGGTACGAAAATATCACGATACCTCCGAAAAAATTCCCTTAATTTCCTTTTCTCCATCTCAGTTAGACATTGTCCAGCAACTGCAACCATTTGGTCGAATTTGTCGTTGGAATTATCGGATGTTGTCGTTTGACAGATTATGGATGTCACAGGTACACAAGTTCCTACTTTTGTCTCTTTCTTGATGGTCACTGGGTAGTCATTAACATTGATAAGTCTCACAGGTATTTTTTTAGCCGAAGTCACCAATTCCTTTCCAATTATGATTCCTCGGCCAACCTCGTCGTCATGGTTCCAGGACTCCATCATAACAGGTGTCCCTTCGTCCACAATTCCCTGTAACTGCGCTACTATGATCGTTTCACTTTTTGCAGGAACGGCTGTATCTTCTTTAATGGCTGCTTGCACAGTGTTATCATCATGTGGATGAAGAAATACCTCCTCGTTACAGACTTTGTTTACCTTATTCTTAAAATGCAATTGTACCAACCAAAATGCACCAACAACGTATGCCTTTTACCATTTATTTCTCCATCTATATATACACTATCTTCACGACGTTTCAAAGAAGCTATTAGTATGAGAGTTTTAGTATAGAGCATTCTAGTTTTCTTATGGCCTTCGTTTTCTTGTATGTAATACTTTTCATCATATTAACGAGCTGGTCAAGTTTATCTTCATCTCCTTCCTCTTTTACAGTCCTAACTTTAATGTACCCGCCAGAGGCTTGCGCAGCTGACTCTTACTCGAGGGCGGCAGATAAGACATCAACCATCGTCTTGTGACGAGCTAATCGCAGTGTTCTCTGGATTTCAGAGAAAGACCATCAATAAATGTTTGAACAGCCAACTTTTCCATCATGTCTTCGGGAGCTGTTGGATAAGCATATCGTACTAATCTGGCAATGTCTACCTGATATTCTTGAAGAGCCTCATCTCTCTTTTGTCTTCGATTTTTAAGCTGGCGACTGATAAACATGCTCCAAATGTTCATGGCCATATCGCATATTTAATTTTAACCTCTTCTTAAGTTGTTCACCGGAATCATCGGTCTCCTCTACGGCTGTGGTCTGAAGCACATCTAAGGCATCTCCTCGAAGAGCGATAGTCAGGTTTACAGCCTTTTCTTTTTCAGACCATCCATTCGCTCTTGAAGCTGATTCGAACTGTTTCATGTAGTTGTTCCATGACGATTTTCCGTCGAAAGTTGGGACTTTAACATGAACAGAACTTACAGAACCTTTACTTCCTTCAAATTTCGGCCGTGTTTCCAACTTACATTTCGTCTCGTTTTCTTTTGTCTCTACTGTAATTGGATTGTTTCCTCTCTCTGCTGTCCCTGTTTCCTCCATCTTCCTTTCCACCTCTTTAATATTTTCTTCGACGGCCAATATATCGGCAGCAACTTGGTTTTTTAACGAAGATATTCTATCGTCGAGGGCAGACATCTCAGAAGTGACTTTAGATATGTTAGCAGAAATTTTGCTTTCCAGAGAAGAAAACTCGTTAGAAACTTTATTTTCTAAAGAAGCGATGTCGCCGGAAACTTTGTTCTCTAACGATGCGATGTTTGTCTTCAAATATATGTTTCCGGGTCCAAACCCTCTTCCTCCAAAGCGTTCTTTAGTCGTTGGACTAAATCAGCCTTTTTCCGGTAGAAGCTAATTCTCTGTCCTCGAGATATCTTCTTAAATTCGTAACTGTGAGCTCATAAATCGTAGTCATTTTCACAATTTACTTAAATTATTCCACTCCCACCTTACTGAACTATTTTTATAAATCTAATTTATTAACTTTATTTATTATAAAATAATGTTCTGACGCTTAGTTTATTAAAGTCTTTATTTATTTAATTTATATTATAATCTTACTCTAATTTATTTTCCACTGACACTATTCTTATTTATATAATTTATTTCCTCGTTACAATTCAAACTCGACTCGATACAATTATTCTTTTCAGTCTGTTTACAATAAAAATTTCCTCTATCTATATTTATTAACCTTTATTCTGGAGTTCCCTAGAATTCGGCCGGTGACCCTTGCTGAACGTTCTCGAACGCCATGGCACGCATACAGGTTTTAGCGGAAGGGATCAGTGTATATTTACCTACTAAAAAATACTTGTTAGAAAAATATGTTGAAAATTGTTGTAAAGGCTGTGTTGGGAATTTATTTTTAGTGTACAGCTAGCAATTGACGGATTTGTAGTTTACTGTTGTTATTTGCGAAAAAAAAAAAATCAAATTCCTACAATATATAAAATTAACAATATAAAAAACTAATTAATTCCCATTACTTACTGTTCTCCTGCAGTCTGCTAAATTATTTAAATTTTTCCCTTATCGGTGACATAATTTTAATATATCTACGTTATTGTTATATATATATATATATATATATATATATATATATATATATATATATATATATATATATATATATATTTATATCGAGAAAAGGAGTACGGCCGTCAATCCAATATAAATTAAGGATCACTCGAAGAGTGGCGGGTTTTTCGGTCAAAAGGTGGAGAAAAAAGACAAAGATGATGGCTACTTCATCTATTTATTGAAAACGTTTCGCTTTCTAATCAGAAAGCATCATCAGTTCATCTAGTGGATTCTAGTGTATTAAAATTATATCTTTTGATGAGAAATGTAAGAATTTTACG